TCAGTGTGAAGGAAACCTCCAATAGACAATAAGTTCCTAACAAAACATCAGCAAGCATGTTGGGTAGAATAGCAATATTAAAACAGACTCAACAAATAAGAGCTGTTTCTCCACCATTAAAAATAGAGATTCAGAACAACATGGAAAGAACATAAAAGATATTTATTCCAAAAAGAATAAAATAGCAATTGGAAAATAAGCACAAGATGTTATGAAAATCTGTCAAACAGAAAATCTGAAAAAGAAAACATTATTTATATAAACAAAAACTTCAGTATATTAARTGAATCTTAGTTTTGGAATTAGCAAATATCAGAACATTAAAATTAAAGAAAAAATTGAAAAGAGAAAAAGAGGTAAAAGATAAAAGATACTGAGAAGTAGCCTGACATTAAAATTTTCATCAACAGTGTTGAATACTAAAAGAAAGGAAAGAAAATGAGTTTAATTTTTTAAGTTTATAATGGACCAAAATAGTGGTTAAGCATATATGCATTTGACATAAAATAATTACAAATTTTGGCTAGTAGATTTGTGGCATAAAAAAAATCTAACAATCCACTCCAAGAAGCAAAGATACTAACAGAATCAAGTAGTGGGATGTACAGGAAAACTGTCATGTTTTTTAAAAAGCTTTCATATGCAAGGAAATACCATTTAAGGATAAATAAAGATTTATGAATATTAAAATGAGTTACTTCACTAGACTAATTGGTATTTATTGATATGTAAATGATATTTGAGCATAGCTTAGTCTTATGACACCCCACATAAAAATTAATTTCATCCCTTTGCTTTTCAACATTAAAAATTAGATGGTGATCCCTTTGCTTTTCAACATTAAAAATTAGATGGTGACTATCAAGGATATAATGAAATTATTTCTGAATTGACATGTTTGCAGAGAAACAAGATGGTGAGTATATACTATCTAGAATTATATTTCACAAATAAATTAATGGCTACTTTGAAAGCCTTTTGAGCCTTTGGTATCTTGAAAATTTCATTTAATTTTAACACAATAAAGACTAACTAAAGTTCAGTAGAAACCAGGAAATACAGATTTCAGAAAGTTAATCTGAGAAACAGAAAGCTCTTTTATTTAATTTCTTCTTTGTCCCTAAAATCAGAGATATGGACAAGTCAAATTTGAACCAAATTTAAGATTAACACATTATTTATAGTTCCCTGGGTTTTTGGAAGCCTCAATAAGCAAGGAGAGAGCATTAAATAATAAATTGACTTTTTAGTGTAATCATTCTCATAATATTTAAGGGAATTATGCATTCCTTTCTGAATACAGATATTTCTTTCAAAATCCAATGTGTAGATAAGTTTCAAATAAGTAAGTCCTTAAGTACTTATGATATTACATGATTTCCAAAATGTTTTGAAATATTTATTTATTAAATAAATTGAGCATCTACTATGTATGAGGCATTGTGCTATGAGCTATTGCCGAATGCCAATGTCTCGGCTTGGCACAAGATCACGAGCCACCACACAGCTTTGTAGGTTCAAACAGCAATTCTTTATTCTGGATCTCACACCAGCCTCCACACAGGTTCAGGGGCAATTCCTAATCTGCCCCCACAATTCACCTACTCCAGGAGGATTTTTCCAAATCCCATTTGAATCTCAACGGGGAACAAGCAGCAGGAACACCCTAATCCCAGCAGCAATAATCTTCAACCTCAACTTCCC